GCCCTCGAGAGATGAGGTCCTCAGGAAACAGACCCGCCCGCTGCTGTGTCCGAGCATCGGCCGCATGATGAGCGTGGGACGACACTTGAAAAGCATTCCAGCGCATCAGCGCGACCGAAAACACTGCCCCCAATGGTTCATGACACCCTCATGAAAAAATGCACGGTCTTCTGTAGAGCTGGCGGGTGGGGGGACGCGCCGCTGCGCCAGACGGCGAAGCAGGGTGAGGGTCTCGCCACCCCAACGGCCGAACGTCTCCGCTGCTAGGGGCACGAAGGTGTAGCCTTTCTGCCGACAGTTGGCACCGTACTTGCGATCTTTGTCGCGCTCCGCCCCTGCAGCTGCAAAACCGCCCGGCCGACGTGCGTTGCTGCGGTTGACCTGGGTGTGGTGGGCCGTTGAGTTCTCGGGCCGACACGGATGGACCACCGTGACGTCGCACAAGACACCTTCGCCGTTGATGGAGAAGAAGAGGTCCATGCGCTGACTGTTGGGCTGGGCGTTTGGGGGGGTGATGTCGAGAGACCGCAGGGGCACTTCGGTGACAGCCGTGATGCCCACCTCCGCAAGGATTGCCTTAAAGACGTCCAGCAGGGTGTTGTGCTTGAACACGCGCTCCGCCGTCGCGCGGCTGCAGAGGAAGAAGTGGTCGCCCAGGGTGTCGATGCTTGCTCCACACGTGCATGACGGTGCGAGGCTGGCGAGAGGGAAAGTGATTCCGAGGGTGAGGGCCGTAGCGAGGCGGTAGGCGTAGTCGTTCAAGCACTTGCGCTTGTCACCTCGGGTATATGCGGGGATGGCCGACAACCAGCCAGACGACAGAGGCCCCAGGCAGGAGAGAAGGCGGCATCGATCACGGCTGCCAGCCGGGAACGACTCAAAGAGGGTGTCGAAGTCTTTCTGCGCAAGAGCGGCAGAGATCTTCTGCTGCAGCCGGGCCTGCGGGCGTGCGATGAGCTGCGCGAGAGGGGGGATGGCGACAGAGGGGAGGGATGCGGAGAAATCGATGCAGGCGGATGCCGCCGAGACGAGCCATTCCAGCTGGAGAAGAGAGGCTTCTCGAAGCTTAACCCCGAAACCCTAAATGACCGTAACTGTCGACGTTAACTGAGGACGCCTCCCTTCACTCAGCCTGCCTTCCCTGAGGCCCTCGCATTCGGAACATGGCCCTGCGCGTGGTTGTTTGCGGCCTCCTACTGCTGTCGTTCCTTCTCGTGAGTGGTGGCGCTCCCGCCGACAGCGATAACTCAACCATTGGTACGCACAGCTCATAAGCGAATTGGCACGCATGTGCTTCTCTGCACTGCTGCATGCCATGTGTGCGATCATGCATCTGTCTGTCTGCCTGTCTGTCTGCCTGTGCACCATCTGTCTGCGGTGGCAGCTGAGCAAGGGGATGAGTTCACCACCACCTCCAGGTTGAAAGGCGGCTTGGCGGATATCGCTGCACTTGCACTCAAGTTGGGCGAAGAACTCACCGAGCATCCGCTCTGGCAATTGTAAGCTGCAACACACGAAGAGGGGGGAAGGATGTGTATGCCCGTCATGTTCAGGTATGAAGATAATGGCTTCATTGTTGACGAAGACAAGTGAGTCATCGTGCACGAAGCGGTGCAGACCCTCAGATACTTGATCCTTCCTGCCTGCCGTGTGCACTCAGGGTCTCCATCTTAGCGACGCCCATCCCCGGTGCGTCGGCGTCGACGCTCCTGGCTGAGCTCGTGCCCCTGGGCTTCGAAGGTCCGTTCACATCGCGATGGACTACCTGTGTTTCTGTATATAGGCGTCTATTGTGTCTGAACACGTGCAGGTGTAGCGAGCGCCGCTGGGGGACTGGTAGGAGGTGCGATGCCCGCTGCGAACCTATACAAGCTTGACGATCCCACGGTGGTCCCTTCCCTCTTCTACGCGAGCCCAGCCGGCAGCGATTCCGACACTACGAGTTCGCGGAGGCGTCGGAACCTACAAAAGGATAATGCTGAGAGCGGCGGCAATGCGACCTCGGAGCAACGTGATGCCGCCTGTCTATCGACGTGCTGCCGGGCTAGTGACACCACGGTATTGCGGCTGAAAGCACTCGATACCGCGCACATCCATAGATGCATGCATGGCGACGCTGTTGGTGTACGTGTGTCTCATGTGTGTAGCCTGGCGGTGGCGGTCCGGCGCTGCCTGCTCGCGGCGGTGCTGCGCTCACGCAAGGCGACGTAAGCAGGGAACAGGAAAAGGCAGGGATGTATTCACAGTGTTTCGCTAAGCGTCGCATAAACATCCACAGATCGCGATGGGCGGAGACGTCGTGCGAGAGTGCCTGGCGGTAGATGGAACCGGTGAGGTGGTCGGCGTCATATCTGATTCCTTCAATCGGGTTACATGACACTAACACACACCCGCGCATACGCAAGGGAAAAGACCTACACACATGCGTCTCTGTGTGTGTATATGTATGTGTTTATAGGTGCCCCTCGTCACGACCTACGCTGCCGACATAGCAAGCAATGATCTCCCTGCGGGCATCGATCTCACGCTCGAGGGTGCTGCGGGAGCCGTCGATGAGGGACGCGCGATGGCCCGTACGTTGCTGCATTACATATGGACGTACATATTGGATATGTATCGTCTCTCTCTCTCTCTGTGTATGTGTGTGTCGATGGGATGTCAACCCCCAGAAATTGTCGCGTAAGTGGGTTTGGCCGACTCATCCCCTGCTTGCCTGCGGACACCCTGTGTGTCCGCTGTACATGTCTTTGCTCTTCTTCTGTCGCTCTGCGCATGGAACAGAGATATAGCGCCGGGCGCTACTATAACATTCGCCACCGCTGGAAATAATCCGACCACCTTTGAGGAGAACATCCGCACTTTCGCCGCGTTGCCTGGAGGTCGGTGAAAACACACACCGAGTAGATGCCTGATTACCCATATCTATATCCTGCTTGTATGCCTGTGTTCAGGCGACGCATCGCTAGGCAATGTGATCCCGCCTGCGACCGTCATGGTTCATGACATATGGGGTAGACCGGAGCCTGCGTAAGTCTGACTCATAGACACACAGAGAGGGAGGGTAGGGAAGGCCAATGCTCGGCCAATGCTCACATACGGCCAATGCTCACATACCTCTCACTCGTGTTGTGTGTAGGTTTCAAGTAAAGTCTACTCTTCGGACGCACACATCCTGCAACCCTGCGCGTGTGTATGTGTGTATGTGTGTCCACACGGACGATACGTTAGGATGGCCTAGTCAGCCGGGCGATTAATGAAGCGGTGGCAGCGGGCATCCCCTTTTTCACGAGGTGGCCACAGCATGAGAGACTGAACACGTCAGAACGATACGCGAGATGGAGTGTTGTCTGTTGCAGCTCTGGCAACATGGGCGAGATAGCGTACACCGCCCCCGGTTTCCGACCGGCGCCTTCTGGAGCCGGTGCTGGAGGTATGCATAAATGCACAGAGGTAGATGTGTATGCCCATTCGTGCCTTTGTCTCGTACAAAATGTATGTCAGCTAACTCGGTCTTCCACGACTTTGCCACCGCCGGTCCCGAGGACATTGATCTTGATTTTGTGGTTCGGCCTGGGCTACCTGATGCGATGGGCAATTGTCGACGCAGATATATCTTCTACCTATAGTAGGCGGTGCTTCGACAGTAATGGATTTGAACTCTTTCGCTTGTGTGTGTGTGTATTTTTGTGTGTATGTAGTTGGGTATAGGAGTGGATTACCAGTCAATCAATCTCTGCATGCTTTATTTGACTGCCTGTATGACAGAATGAGCCGTGGATCGTGCATGGCAACACTCCCCCTGCTGTCGGCAGTCGCGTGGACATGAATCTACTGATCTTCCGGTAGGAAGACAGGGACGTGCTCGTGCACACACGAGTAAGGCATGCATGTGCGTGGACTAATGGGTGCAGGCGCAATGCGGCTGGCAACTATGCGCAGGCGGAAACAATTGCGGGCACAATTACTGTCCAACAGGGCAACACTATGAGTGGAGGCGACAATCCTCTTGATCAAGAGGACCCTTACGGTATTGTGCCCATATTTTCTTAAAAGTTCAGGTACACAACTAAGTAGCCCTTGTTGCATTCTTCTGATTGTCTGCAGAGTTTGCCTCTGTGATCAACACAGCATGTGTCGGCAACCTCGACCTCAGGTATGACAACAATCTAAAGTGACTGACTGTCTGATTTATTCAGCCACTGATGGATTGTCTTTCAGTTTGCGCATTGAGTGGAGGACGAACACAGGTCCCCAAGATGCTGCCGGCAACCGCCTTCCTCCGACTTACGTCAGCACAGCACTCTCACACACACACAAACACAAACGCAAACATACAATGTCATGCATCCTGTCAATGTTGAACGCAGATGAAGATCGTAGGTCACAACAATAATGGCGACTACGAACGAAACCCTTTGAATGCTGGCGTTGCGGAGGTTGAGTTGTCCTCCGCCAGCGCTACAGGTGTGTTTGCATGCTGCGGATCTGGCTTGAGACAAGAGAGTGTGTATGTGTAGGCTCGAGACATAGCCGCTTGGGCGCCAGCATTGCTTCCATGAACTACGTATGTATAGCACACGACACACCGCACACGAGCGACGGACATCCTTAAGTGCTGCTTTCCGTCACCCTTCTGTTCCTTTGCAGGACAATTTCGATGTGGTGGGCCCTCTTTGCTTGACTTGGCTGTACACGGTCGACTTCGAGTCAACCGTGTACATCTGTCTCTCTGTCTGTGTGTCTCTGTGCAGTGCATAGGAGCCACTCCGGGCAGCAATAATCCTCGTCAGCCTGCATGGGATACGGGAATGCACGGGACGCCGATCATCTTTCTGGAGAACGGGAATTGTGTCGCAACTGGCGCACCCAGGTATGTGCATCTTATTTTAACACACATACCATAATCGCATGTCTGACTCCGCATATGCTGTTGAGCAGGCCAAATGACGGGTATTGTCCAGACCCGATGGATCCGCGCCTGCAGCCTCTTGTGACTGCTCCCCATGGAGTTGACACAACACACTTCGCAACTCGGGACCGTGACAATACGGGCGCTCTGCCTGTTGACATTCCCCCCTTTACGCCCAATCGAAACTTCTTCGGAACTTCGTAGGTGCGGGAGGAGGGCGATGTGTGCATGTATGTGGTCGGCGTCTGTCTCTGTGCGTGTAGTGCGGCGGGTCCACATGTTGCTGGCTTGGCTGCTTTGCTGCGCCAACACGATCCAACGCTCACTCCTGCTCAGTATGATCGCCGTACACAATGCATATATCCATGGATACCACACAGGAATGTCATTGCTATGCGTGCAGGATCTACGAGCGCATAGCATCGAGCGCCGTGGACATAATTGACATCGACTTGCCGGCGAATTTCCGCCGAGCGCCCGACAACGTCAACGGCCCACAGCCCGGCTCTGCAAATGCCAATGCATTCGATTTTGTCACCGGAGCGGTCACTCACCTCACGATCGATGATGTGGATGTTGATTCTTGGTTGATTGCTTTCTCAGGGTTTCGTGACGTCTCGTGTTGGAGGTCTTCCTCTGGAGCTTGTCGACGTGACTCCGACGGGAGTGGTGGGCACACCAGTCCTCACCGTCGAGCTCACCTTCAACCAAATTAATGTCGTGCCGATCGGGGCCAATCCTACGTTGCAATGTACGAATCAATGAATGGATGGGATGAGATGGGTGTATGGCGGGGTGGTGCATGTAGCACATAAGGGTATGGTTTCTTGTGTGTTGCATCCATGCAGTGCGGGGCGACTTCCAAGAAATCGACCCCTGCGAGGTATGGCTACAGGCGTGTTCATGTGTCCATGCATATTGTCAGCTAGTCAGGCTACACAATGACTGTGTCTCCATGCTGTAGGCACGAGACCCGGATATCGTTGAGATCGACATCGATATCAATGCCAACGTACGCACGCAGCACGATTATTTGCGCCTCTTCTGTCCGACCGTGTTGGTTCTCATGAATTGCGTGTGTTCAGTGCACCAGCGCCAACGTAGCGGGCCAGACGGTCTTTACGTGCACCATTCCGGGCGGAGGCATCACAGACACGCGTGGTCTGCGCTGGGATATACTGGCAGTGGGCGACACCAACTTCGAGGGCTGTGTCGGCGACGCTGCCACCCTGCCCACGCCGATTGGCGAGTTCTGGACTCGAGGTGAGGGTACGGGAGGCCGAGTGGGTGCACACGAATCGAACGAGCACACGCAAGTCTTAATCTTGTGCTACCCGCAGACACGCGTCCGCCTGAGGTGGTGTTGACCAGTCCGGCGAACGGTGATGTGAGAGTGCCCCTCGATACCGGCGTTGAGGTGGTATTCGATGAGGTCGTCGTTCTGGATCAGCCCGCCACCGTCACGTATGCGCACACATGCATGCATCCACTGATAGGTACATCCGTGCATTCATTTTGTGTGCACAATTAGGTTGACGGCGACATGGGTGGAGGAGGACCCCTGCGAGGTGTTCAAGTTGCCTTCCCCGCCGATCGAGATTCCGCTGACTGCCAGTATGTTCACCGCATGCACGCTGACCATCCCCATCCCTCCCCCCGGCCTGCAAGGAGACGGCTTCAGATACGAGGTCAATATTCCCAGGTACGTATCTACACAAACCACTTGCTGCGCGTCCTCATTGTTGTCTGTGTGCAGAGAGGGCATTCGCGATGACCGTGACGTCGGCCCGCCCCCAACCATCAACGGCCGCAACAACCCTGCGTCAGACGTCCAGATATCCTTCACAGCGGTCGACGTCGTCCCTCCTCGCGTCGGCCACTTCAATCCCATCCAATCAGCAGTGGGTATCCCCCCTGACACGCAGATTGTCATGACGTTCGACGAACTCATTGCTCTCGGCAACGTCCCGCTGGGCAGCGGCATCTTTCTGCACCCCGACGCATATTTGGACAGTGGCGGGCGCAGCCTGCCGCCACTCGAAATCAGCGCTGAGGATGTGGTGGTCGATCGGTGCACGCTGACCATCAACCCACCCGTGGATCTGCTCAACGGTCGTGTCTACACTGTCATTGTCGATGAAGGTGGGTGGATTCTATGAATGCACAGCTAAGGACGGGCTCTTGTACTGGGGCTCTCTTTCTGTTTGCTTCTCTCGGAAGGTGTGGTGGAGGATGCTCCAAGTCAGGTGGGCAAGTACTCGATTGTGTCTTGATTCCTTACCCAAGGATCCTTGCCTGGCTTGTCAATCGTGGCTTGTTGATGCAGGCGCCCACGCCATTGAAGGTCCCGAATGGTTTCGCAGGGCTGGTGCTTCCAGGCACAGATGAACCTGGACAGGTCAGCGAGCACCTCTGGAATCACTCAGCTGATTTGCGCGTCAACGGCTTTATCTTTTATCTGCGCAGGCTGACTCGTACCAGTTCATGACGGCCGGCTGCCCCGGTGCTGTCCCGACATCGGACTACATTCCCACGCTACTCAACACTAAGGTATATACATGTGCTGCGGCGCACCTTCGCTCACTGCCTTTGTGTTGTGTGCAAATAATTGTGCACCCATGCAGTGCTTCGGCAGCATGGACTTCAAGCGCGGAGTGAAGACAAAGGCTGAAGGCGAGCATGCGTCGAATGAGGGCATCACTCTTATTGTCGGCGACCAGACTGTGCTGCGCCACGATGCCAATGCCGATGCGTAATTAGCAGCCTTCCACCCACAACACACACAGGGATGAGAGGTCTTTGCGGTGTGCCTGCCTTCTACAGATACAGCGCGCAGCGCGCCGCAGAGAGTGTGTCCCCGTTGGGTCTCATCGCAACACTTGCGTCCGTCGACAATGCCGAGGAGCAGGTAGCTCACTGCACACGCGCGCACGCGCACGCACCCAGCCGTGTACGAACTTGTTTACGACGTCAGGCGATCATCCAGCGCCTCCTGACGGCGCTGTCAGCGGCCAAGACGGAGACCAATGCGTTTGCGAAGGCGGTCCTACCCTCGGGCGTCGACGATGCGTTGGCACGCCTTCCATTTGGAGACATCAGAGAGGCCCTCAGAGGGCTCGATCTCGCTGACCTTGTGCCCACGGACGTCCAGGCGCTGCTCGATCTTTTGCCAGACATCGCGATCCCAGGCTTCGATGACAAGCTGGCCTGCTGGATTGGCCTCAGACGGGCGGCCAAGAACGGAGATGGTCAGCCATGCATTCATATGATCAAGGTTGGCGAGGCGGCTGGTTATTGTGTCTCTGTCGCTCCCAGGTGAGTTTGACTGGATGGACTCGACGCCTTTCGACTTCAGCGACTGGAAGGACACCATACTGCCCGACACCCTGGAGGAGGCCATCCGTGACATGAAGGATTGCGTCAAGGTATGCCTCCTGCAGTCTCTCGCGCATCCTGCCACGTACACACATGAATGAATACTCACTTGTGCAGGCAAGTCTGGACGATGGCTGGTATGGTGACCACTGCTTCAACAAGCTGCCCTGCAGGTACAAATGCATGTACGTAAAGGTCCACCGGCTCCGTGGACAGCCCCCCCCCCCCCCCC